AGCATGTTTTTTGTGAGAGAGCTGCTGGTCTGACCCAGGTGCTGTGAGGTCCTTTGGGGCCAGTGACCAGAACATAGATTGAAATAGGGGCTCCAGGATTTGCCCCTGAAGACAAATGTGTGGTTTGGTGGGCCCTTGAAGTTTTGGAGGAATATTTTGTGCTCATTGTGTCCAGGCAGGGAGCCCGGGAACTTGCTTTGTAGCTTCAGAGATGCCGAGGACTCAGGTTTTAGAGACCAAGTGAGTTTCGCAAGAGGGCTGAGGTGAGGTTCTGGCCTGTGATGGGGTGAAAGGCTTAGTGACTGCAGCGTGCCCTTCCCTCCCCCACAGGATTGGGTGCAAGGAATTGGTGTCGATGGAGGAGCAGGACGTCAGGGTCCCAGCCCTGGAACCATTCAGAGTGGAACAGGTTGTCAGAACTGGCGGTGCAGAGGGTGGAGGTGGAGACTAGAGGGTGGGAGCAGGGGTGGAATAGGCAGGTGTCAGTGGGTTTGTGGGTTGGGACCGCCTCCTCCCTCCAAATTTATTCTTATCATCAGTCCAGCCTTATCCCCAACCTCACCCCAAATGGGCATTGGTTCCTCAACTTTAGATCCTACTCTGTCTAAGGACATCGTGAGCCTTTCTTCGGAGGGAGTGGGTGCTCTTTGATGATAAGGGTCAAAGGCCACAGCTTCCGGGGGGGTCTCTCTATCCTAGGCACCACCTGTAATCTACTATGTCCCTGACTTCATCTCCAAGGAAGAGGAGGAGTATTTACTTCGACAGGTGACCCCAGTGACCCTCTGGTCTGTTTTCCCCTTCTTCCCATATCCCTCCCCAACCCGTGGCCCTGTATGAGAACCCCCAAGGCTGCAGTGAAGAGACCCTGGCAGAAAGGAGAGTGTCACACAGCACCCATCCCCCACCCTTCCTGTTTCTCAGGATCTGCAAGGAAATATCAGAAAGAGATTTTTCTGGGAGGCTTAGAAGAAACCAAATTGATTCCTACACAGGAGGTGTTTATTATGAAGCTTAGTCTCCCTGTACTGAGATAGCCCAGTCCAGCCTTTAAAATGACAATGCTATTGAGATCAGCTTCCTCCTGCAGGAATAGCCCAGTGCAACCCAGAGTCTCAGGAACAAGTTACAAAGCTCATACTCCCTATACCAAGATAGCTCAATCCTGCTAGCTTAGAGAAAAAAAGGAAGTCATAAACATAAGCTGAGATAACCCAGTTCAGATCCTTGAGACCGGGGAATGAAGAATTTAGTGTTCAGATCTCTGTGCTGAGATAGCCCAGGAATCAGAATGTTGCAGGGTAAAGCCTTCCCTATGCTAAAAGAGCTCAGCATAGACCCAGAGTCTTAGAAACAAGGTTACCTAGAGCATGAGAGATGCTTAGGTGGCCCAGTCCATATTCTGTTCTCAAAGTTTGGGGAATTTACAAAGCTCAGAGTCCCTGCAGCACTTTGCAGCCCCAGAGCCTTAGTTACAGAGCACAAGTACTCCCTGTGCTGGAGTAGTCCACTCCAACTTGAGTCCCAGGAACAAGTTAGCTACAGAACACAGACTTTTGTGCTGAGATAGCCCCTTCCAGACTTTTGGATTCTTAGGGTTGAAATTTTTATATATTATAGAATGCTTGCACAGAAATAGCTCAGTCCTGCCCATAACCATGAAGGGAATAGGAGATTATCAACTGGAGTATAGACTTCTTGGACTGCAATAGCCCATTTTAGAACATGAGGATTTTAGCAGTGGAAGATTTTCAAAGTACTTTGTTGTACTGAGATAGCCCAACTTAGTGTACTCACTCCCTCAGGCAACAGCAACAAGGAGGTTCCAGAATTCAGCCCAGGAATCAGGAAATTAGAGTACAGGCTATTTGCTGAGCTGAAAGAGCCCAGTCCAGCCCCAGAACTCTGAGTAGATTCAGACCATGACTGTAAAGCCCTGGTTCCTTTCCTCAACTCTGGTAGACATAGGTGGGCTTTTGGGCCAAATGCCTCTCCAATAAAGAAGGCAAACAAGTCTTTGGAACACAGTATCCAAAGAATGATCCCACAATGAGATGGCCCATTTCCACCCCAGGTAAAGGCCTCGATGTTGACCTGGGTGGGAGAATCTGTAAAGGGGTGGTCTTGGAAGAGGACTGACCTCTTTTCCCCTCCTAGGTTTTTAATGCCCCAAAGCCAAAATGGACCCAGCTCTCTGGGAGAAAGTTACAGAACTGGGGTAAGTGTCCCTGGTTGGGGGCACGGGTGATTCTGGGATATGGACTGGAGCAGGAGGCTCCGATCCAATAGTCTGAAAACATTGAGGAAGTCCCTGAGGGCCAGGAGGATTCTGCCTCCTGAAGGGTTAGGGATTTCCTGATGAGTTGGGAGTATCTGAAAGGGTCTAGTGGTCTGGAGAAGTTAGAAAATCTTTGAAGGGTCCAGTGGCAATCTCCAAAGGATCATGGGAGTTCCTGAGGGGGTCAGGGTGCTTCCAATCTCTGGGATATCCCTAATGGGGGCTCCAGGTACCATGGGGGAGCCCTCAGGACCCTACTGCCCTCTCCAGGTGGACTACCCCATCCCCGGGGGATGGTTCCTGAGCGGCTGCCTCCATGGCTCCAGCGCTACGTGGACAAAGTGTCTGACCTCAGCCTTTTTGGGGGTCTCCCAGCTAACCATGTCCTTGTGAACCAGTACCTACCTGGAGAGGGCATCATGGTAACCACACATCTTTGCCCTGACCCCCATGGCCACTGCCTCCCCTCAGACTACTGAGCCATCGTGGGACAGGGCATCATGTTTACCCACCCTCATCAAGTAGCCGCATACCCCAAGCAGGCACTCGCTTCCTTGTCCCCAGCCTGGGGCCCCCCCTTTATCACAGGGTGGGGGGAGTGTGGACGCCTGCCCAGCCGAGCCCTGGTCCCCATTCCCAGCCCCACGAGGATGGCCCACTCTACTACCCGACTGTCAGCACCATCAGCCTGGGCTCCCACACCGTCCTGGACTTTTACGAGCCACGGCAGCTGGAGGATGACAACCCTACAGAACAGGTGGGCCCTGAGATGCGATCCCAACCACTCGGGGGCGCCCTGCCATCACATCCTCCAAGATGACTTGATCCCACCTGCCTTCAGCCTACTCCTGACACCCTCCCAGACACCTTCCTCTGTCCCTTGTGGGGTACACCCACTTCCTCCCAGATACCCACCCCTTCTGCTTCAGGGTCCTCTGCATACCATGATTTCCACAGGCGCCCCAATACTCCTACCTACTGAATGGATGCCTCTGACACCCCACAGACGCCCTGGCCCCACGTGTCAGTGTTTCAGCTGCCCAACGTCCACATGTGCCCCATGCAGGGCTACCCAGCCTCCGACAGACACTCTGATATCCTCAGATACTCCACCGTCATTCTCTCATGGGTGCCCCAACATCCTCCCAGATGCTCTAACTCTGACTCTAACACTGACATTCTGCCACTCCAGTAATGTGATCTCTGGTGCAGGATACCCCCAGATTCTCCTTGGCCCCTCAACTCATGATTTGCAGCTCAGGGACCCCCGACAAACCCTGACAGTACCTTCTCTGAGTGATGCATTTCTGACATCTCCATAGTCACAGAAACCCCTGGACACCCTGGCCCGCTCCTCCTTGGGGCTCCCTCTTAAACCCTACATGTTCCTGGATACCCCGACACTCCCTCCTACTCTGCTGGTGTTCTCTAGCATCCTGGTGTCCTCGGGTGCACTCGCTCCCTGTGACGTCACTCCCTCTGACCTCTGTCTCGCTCTGTCCCCACCTGGTCCTGCGTCAGCCATGCCCTCTCGCCCAGCTCTGCCCGGTGCTGGAAACCGTCCCAGCCCCGGCTCATCAGAGATCCTGGCTGCAGCTTCCACATTGCCTGACCGCTTGACGGCCCATCTGCAGCCTAGTTCCTGCCTCCTCCTGAGGGACTGCAGACCCCTTGCCCTCCCTTCCAGCAGCCTCACTCGGGGACCCGCCATTCTCACTCCTCAACCACCAAAGCCTCTGCCTCTAGGAGCACGCCGGCTCCCCGCCTTTGCCCCTAGAGAACAGTTGTGTCCCCTGATCCCCGAGGCCTGTCGACCCCGCGCCCTCTCCCCGGCTTCTGGAGACCCGCTGACCATCAGCCCGCCCTTGCAGCCCCGCCCCCCGCC